CTAGGGGCAATCAAGCAGGCAGTCAGAGCAGTTAGGGAATAATCAGGCAGGCAGGCAGGTGAGCAGTTAGAAGCCAACAGTCCCAGATTGCTAGAGGTATGTCCAACTACCGGTTTCCATCGGGCCTAAACCAGCAGTCAGACATCCCCCAAGGGGTCCCCGATTGGAGAGGGTGCAGGCTGGGCTGAGGGAAACCGCCCCCCCCCCCGCACAAATTTCATGCACTGGGCCACTAGTAGAGTTACAACTTTATAGAGTTACCATCAAACTATCGTGTTTTGAAATTTGGTTAAGTTATATTGAGGTTTATGTTTAAAAATAAGCATGAAAACAGCCAAGAAAAATAACTGAAAAAGAATAATGAGATATATTTTCCCTAGAATTGTGAAACTAGCTTCTAATATGAAGCTAGACACTAATAATTAAATTAGTATAGTACCAATCCAAGAATGGATTCATGTATAAATACTAGAGGCCCAATGCACTAGAGGCTGCCAGCACTGGCTTCCCTCTGGCACCCAGGACCTGGGCTGCTTCACTCTGGTCCCAGCTTCACATTCGGTCTGATTAGCATATTACCCTTTTACTATTATAGATGGAACAGAATAGTCGGAAACAGGCCTTATATAAATGAAAGATGTAAATTATTCTGGAATTTGGAGGGATTTAAAAAAATTAGATTCTTGCCAATGCAAATTTGGACACATTCAAATTTTTCTTAAATCAAACTTGTATAAACAATGTTCTGTTTCTATATTGTCTCTGAATTAACAGGAGACAAATATATTGGAAGAAGTATTTGCAGTAAAAATGACAGTATTATCCCTACTAGCAATGAGAGAGGAACATCATTGACTGGCGGCCTACTGCACGCCCCCTACTAGGGGACCAAGTCCAAAACTTGGGCATATGCCCTGATGGGAAATCAAATCGTGACCTCTTGGTTCCTGGGTCAGTTGATGCTTAACCACTGACCCATATCGACTGGGTAGGAGGTGAATGTTTTTGATGCCTATGATAAATCTTACCAAATTGCTAGTAGGAATAATACTGTCATTTTTACTGCAAATCTTTTCTCTCAATATATTTGTCCCCTGTTAATGCAGAGACAATATAGAACAGGCTGTTTTGATTATAGATTGAAAGACAAAAATCACATGATCATATCAGTGGATGCAGAAAAAGCATTCAACAAAATCCAACACCTATTTTTGATAAAAACTCAGAAAATTTCATATATGGCAAACCTACAGCCTACTTAATGGGCAAAAATTAAAACCATTTCCTCTAGGAACAGGAACAGGACAGGGATGTCTGCTTTCACCATACTTATTCAGCATAGTACTGAAAGTCCTAACCATAGCAATCAGACAAGAAGAAAGCATAAAAGGCATCCAAATTGGAAAGGAGGAAGTGAAACTCATTATTTACAGGTGACATGACATGATATTGTACATAGAAAATCCTAAAGCTCAACTGGCATGGCTCAGTGATTGCGGCGTGTTGACCTATGAACCAGAAGGTCACTATTCAATTCCCCATCAGGGCACATGCGCAGGTTGTGGGCTCAATCCCCAATAGGGGTGTGCAGGAGGCAGCCAGTCAATGATTCTCTGTCATCATTGATGTTTCTATCTCTCCCTCTCCCCTCCTCTCTGAAATCAATAAGAATATATTTTTAAAAAGAAAATCCTAAAGATCACCAAAAATCTAGATTTAATAAATGAATTTAGCAATGTAGCAGGATACAAAACCAACACCCAGAAATCGATGGTATTTTTATGCACCAATAATGAATTCTCAGAAAGAGAAACTAAACAATCCCATTTACCAATAATTAAGATACTTAAGAATAAACTTAACTAAGGAGGTAAAAGACTTGTACTCAGGAAACTACAGGACTTTGAAAAAAGAGATAGAGGAAAACATAAACAAGTATAAGAATATACCGTGTTCATGGATTGGTAGAGTCAACATCATCAAAATGTCCATACTACCAAAAGCAATCTATAAATTCAATGCAATTCCTATTGAAATACCAATGGCATATTTCACAGATCTAGAACAAATACTCCAAAAATTTATGTGGAACCTGCCGAGACCGGTTTTGCTCAGTGGATAGAGCATCGGCCTGCGGACTGAAGGGGCCCAGGTTTGATTCTGGTCAAGAGCACATGCCTGGGTTGCGGAAATGTGTTGCAGGCTTGATCCCTAGCAGGGGGTGTGCCGGAGGTAGCCAATAAATGATTCTCTCTCATCATTGATATTTCTAGCTCCCTCTCCCTCTAAAAAAAAATGAAACTAGATCAATAAAATATATTTTAAAAAAGAATAAACTCAAATTGGATAAAAGACTTAAATGTAAGTCTAGAAACCATAAAATTCCTAGAAGAAAACTTAGCAAAATCTTAGACATCTCTTGTCGCAATATGTTCACGGATACATCTCCTAGGGCAAAGGAAACTAAGGAGAAAATAAATGTGACTACATCAAAATAAAAAGCTTCTGCACAGCAAAAAGAAACCCCAACAATTGTAATACTTGAAGCAATAAAACAAAATTTAAAAAAAAAAAAGAAACCAACAAAATGAAAAGGAAGCCCACTATATGGGAGAACATATTTGGCAATAATACATCAGATAAAGAGTTAATATCCAAAATATATAAGGAACGCATACAACTTAACAAAAAGAAGACAAACAGTCCAATTAAAAAGTGGGCAAAGGACCAAAATAGATACTTCTCCATAAGTAGACTTACATATGGCCAAGAGACATAATGAAAAAAAAATTCTCAAAGTCACTGGTCATCAGAGAGATGCAAATTAAAACAACAATGAGGTATCACCTAACACCTGTCAGAATGGCTACCATCAACAAATGACAAGTGCTGGTGAGGATGTGGAGAAAAAATAACCCTAGTACACTGCTGGTGGGACTGTAGACTGGTGCAGCCATTATGGAAAACAGTGGAGTTTCCTCAAAAAATTAAATATGGAACTGCCATTTGATCCAGTGATCCCACTTCTAAAAATATGTCCTAAGAGACTCAAAACCAATCAGAAATAATCTATGCCCCCCTATGTTCATAGCAGCACAATTTACAGTAGCTAAGATCTGGAAACAGCCCAAGTGTCCATCAATAGGCGAGTGAATAAAAAAGTAGTGGTACATTTACACAATGCAGCAGTAAAACAGAAGGAGCTCTTACCCTCTGAGATAGCATGGAGGGACCTGGAGAGTATTCTGCTAAGCAAAATAAGCCAGTCAGAAAGACAAGTATCCCATGATCTCACTCATGTGAAATCTAATGACTAAGTAAACTGATGATCAAATAGATCCAGAGACATAAAAGCATGGAACAGATTGTAAAATCTCAGAGGGAAGGTAGGGGTGGGTGGATGGGTGGGAAGAAATCAACCAAAGAACTTGTATCCATATATGCATAATCCATGGACACAGACAATAGGGTTGTGAAGGCTGGGGGTGGGGGATGGAGGTGGGCTAAAAGAGGTCAATGGGGAGGGAGGAGTGCATATGTAATACTTTCAACAATAAAGGTTTTTTTTAAAATATATTTTTATTGGTTTCAGACAGGAAAGGAGAGGGATAGAGAGAAACATCAATTATGAGAGGATCGTTGATCGGCTGCCTCCTGCACACCTCCCACTGGGGATCGAGCCTGCAACCCAGGCATGGGCCTTGACCGGGAATCAAACTATGACCTGGTTCAAGGGTCTATGCTCAACCACTGAGCCTCGCCGTCCAGGCAACAATAAAGATTTATTTTAAAATTAAGTATAGAGATAAAACATTGAAAAGGCAAAAAAGCCTACTGATAAAATTAAAAGGCAGATAGAAAACTGGGAGAATATAACTAGTTTGTTTATTTATTTGAGAGAGACACAGCGATTGGCTGCCTCCTCCCTACCCACTACTGGGGATGAAGCCTGCAACCCGGGATCCAACCGGCAACCTCTGACCTCTCTGTGCACAGGACAGTGTTCAACCAAGCCACAGGGGCCACCAGATCATTATAACATTTTTGACCAAGGGTAACATTCTTATTAAAGAGCCCTTACAAACGAAGAGCAATATCAACACCTTGTAGAATGCAGGCTAAAGGACATGAACTGGTAGTTCACATAAGAATAAATCTAAAGCTAATGAGCCTATGGAAATACTCTTTTGAGTTAATAATTCTACATCTAGATGTTTGTCCTTAAAAGTAAACAAGTGCACACCCAGCTGGTGTGGCTCAGTGGTTGAGCTTCCACCTATGAACCAGGGGATCATGATTCAATTTCCGGTCAGAACACATGCCCAGGTTGCGGACTCAATCGCCAGTGGGGGCATGCCAGAGGCAGCTTATCAATGATTCTCATCAGTGATGCTTCTGTCTCTCCCTCTCCCTTCCTCTCTGAAATCAATAAAATTATTTTTTTTTAAAGTGAACAAGTGCATAAATATGTAAGAGCAAGATTATTGCTCATTGAGGCATAGTTATAATAGCAAAAATTTTGAAAAATACTTCAGTGGGTTAAATTTTAACAATATGGATGTCATAAAGCCATTAAACTTTTAATTTATTGTCACAGGAAGATTTTTTTACCATATATTTCTTAGTAAAAGTAATAAGTTATTAAGCAGTGTGATTTAGACAAGAAATCAATAAGGCAATATAAATACACCAGGATATTAGCAGTACATTACCTTGGGGTTGTAATTTTAAGTTGTGTTTAAATATGAGGATGTTTGTTTATATAATCCTGAGAAGTAGTTGAGTAAAGGTAAAAAAAAAAAAAAGATGGATAGATTTTACCACATAAAATTTGAAAGCTGTGTATGACAAGAGAAATATAGAACTGGAAAAACTTTTCATAAATATAGTGCTATTAATAGAAAAAATGCAATTGGCCACTAGCTTATAAACTTCATAAAAGCAGACATCAGATCTGTTTTGTTGACTGTGACATAATAATAAGTACTCAGGGAATATTAGTATATTTTAAATGAATGACCTGTAAGTTGATTTGGGGGATGGGTTCATCTGTACTTTCCAGCTTTTCTGCAATGAACTTTGTCACTTATATAATTAGTTGTTACAATGTTGTAACTAGCTATTTAACAGTCTTTTAAAGATTGACTGTTTAAGACTTTTGAAATATAGAAAAGGTATTCTAAATATAAGCCACGAGCCCTGACCCGTTTGGCTCAGTGGATAGAGCGTCGGCCTGTGGACCAAAGGGTCCCATGATCGATTCCGGTCAAGGGTATGTACCTTGGTTGCGGGCACATCCCCAGTAGGGGGTGTGCAGGAGGCAGCTCATCGATGTTTCTAACTCTCTATCCCTCTCCCTTCCTCTCTGTAAAAAATCAATAAAATATTTTTTTTTTTAAAAAGATAAATGTAAGCCACGAAACACATTTGTTTTTGTATACCTAGGCACTTTTCAAAAGGAGAAATAAGAAAGAATACTTAGTATCTGGAACAAAAGGAAAATACAAATATACTTCCAATATAGGAAAATAAATTCTCAGATATCAAAAAGGAAAATATATATCTCAAGTATTCTTTGCACTTAATCTTCCACTGTATTTAAAATCTTCTCAAGCTCAGTGACTCAAAACTCTTTTGGTTAACTCTTCCATTAATTCAAATAGTTTCCCAGTTCTAATCATATCCTAACCATTACTACCGGAATAATATTCATGTTGCATAACTCTGATCATGACCTACTGTCCCAAAGCCTTTCCTTGATGGCCTGGGATAAATGTTACTCCATTCACCAAGCCTTGGGGATATAATTTAATCTAGTGATTAATGTAAATGGGAACCAGATTACCTTGTCTTTATCTCTCTATACATCAAATTCGTCTTTAAACTGGGGATGATAATAGAGGTGCTGAATTTATAGAGTTGTTCAAATGAAATCTGATTAATTCACATAAGCACATAGTATAGTGTCTGGTATATAATAAGCACTTAAAAGTATAATTATTTTTTACTAACAGCAGTATGATCACCTCTGTTGAGATTCTTAAACTTATACTAAATATATTTTACATGTTTTCTGTTTATTACAAGTTTGTAAATACCCTTGATTAGATTATATGATGCCCATTTTACACACACACATACAAATAACCTAGTTCAGTGGTTTTCATATAGTAGCTATTAAGTACATAAATATCTTTTAACTATTGTAAATGAATAAAAGTAAATTTTTCCTCAGAGAAAGCGAGATAGTTTCTTTGGTCTGAGTAGTCATTAAAAAATATATACAATACTAACTTCCTTTTTAAGTGGACCTAAAAAGTATAGAAAGTATAATATTCTAATGAGAAAAAGTTCTAGCCTAGTTCTTTTAAGTGGTTGGGAGTTTTCATAGAAGTCGTTTCAAAAATTAGTGCTTACATATGGAATAGGTAATCATGTGTACCTCTTTCCTACTAAGGCAGAATGTCATCGAAAGCTGCTGAAAAATGGCCAAAAAAATGTTTAGGAGAAGAGAAAAGAGTTAGCATTCAGGAAGTTTGAGCTGGTGGCATGTTAATTAAGTAGAGGTTGGTTTTTACAAAGTGACACAAATTTGGGTGTTTTGGAAACTCAATGTAAAAATTAATTTATGTTTTCCACTGGAAGAAATTAATTAGCTCCAGGGGTCAGTCAGAAGTGTCAGTTTTATCTGGCAATTCTCTGGGAGATAGTTTCAAAAAAGAGTGGCAATTAAAGAGTTTCTTTGGGCTTTTGATTTGATTGCAGGAGGTAACAATGGGTTGAGGCAAAAGAAAAGTTAAGAGCCATTGTGGGCTAGAAATTAATGGCTTTACTACAGAGCCTCCTTTTGAGCTGTGGTTTCAGCCTCTCATCTGAGCTTTGTATTTCACAGATTTGTTGAGCCCTTTAAAGAAATGGAAGTCTCGCTATCTGATGGAGCAGAATGTCACCAAGTTACTTCGGCCTCTTTCTCCAGTCACACCACCCCCTCCCAATCCAGGCTCAAAGAGCCCCCAGCTGACCACACCTGGCCCATCTCACCCAGAAGAAGAATGTCGAAATGGATACAGCCTCATGTTCTCACCAATCACGTCTCTTACTACTACTAGTCGCTGTAATACTCCTCTGCAGTTTGAGGTGATTTGGGTTTGGTTGTTGGGAGTGCTGAATATGAAGTCATCATTTGCACCTCCTCATGTTAAATACAGTATCATTCCAAATGCTTCTTTACCATGTTCCTTGCCTGTCTCAGCAAGAGAATGGGAAACCTCAGGGTCAGTGTGACCTATTACCTGGTAGCCTCTCATCTTGGCAATCCACATACTTCCCAAAATAGGAATAATTATACCACAGATGACATTCATTTGCCTCTTGCATGCAGTCCATTGGTCTCCCTAACTTTAGGCAGTAAGCATGCTAGACCTCCATCTTTGGCCTTACTCTCTACTTGTTAAACAGGCCTCTAGCTGCCTAGTAATCATTAATGACACAGCCTGAGAGCTCTGATAATAATATTTTTGTCTTTGTTTCTAGGCCTTTAAATTAGTAAAGTGTCTCTTTACCTATTATTTTGTATTCTCATTATGGGCTCAGTAAATAGGGATTGAGAAAGCATATGGTTTATGGCAAATGAGGGTTTTTTCCCTACTCTAGGTTACTTTCCCTTTTTGTTATAATGTGTTAGGAATAAGACAGAAACTAGCAACACGTTTATAAAGACAAATTAATTACATTCACTCTCTGGATTAAGTTAGAAATTTATATCTCAGTTATTTTAAAACGATTCTGAATCACTTTAGTATTCAAGTTTGGGTGACAGCAGATTTACAGAGTAGATTCCAGGTATATAAAAATATACCTCATTTATTGCATGTTGCTTTGATTTATAATTAAACAGACACTATTTTTAAAAAATATCTGGACTTGTAAATGGCTAACTCAGAACGAGGTAGCAGCCTTAAAAACAAGAGGCAGCTATACCTAAGCTAGACTATATTAACTTGACTTTTGGAGCAAGCCTCTTTCTGGCGGGTAAAAAATATTCCTGGTTACATTGGATTTCTAATAATTCCCTGTGGCATTCTTTTTAGCCAGATAGTAAAGCAGCTGATTCAGGCCTTACTAAATTTACCTGGTCTGATTGCAGTTGACTTTTCAGTTAGCAGCTAGAGTTTGATAAATAAAATTTCATGAGAGGACATTCTCCCTGGTGGGCAGCATATTATATTAATAGGGGTTCAGACCTTGTCATTGTAATAATTATAATTAAACATAAAATTAGAAGGTAAGTTGCCTTCCCAAACAGCCAAGTTTAGTACTCAGTGTATTTCCTACCCCTTGTAGTATTTTGGATAATTATGAAACACTATGAAAGTGTAAAGTGTTGCATATATTTTTTTAAATCAAAGATCTTTTTATTGATGCATAGTCTAAGCATAATGTTAGAATATCAGGAATGGGGGAAATGTTATAATGTATTAAATAGTCCATCCCTTCATAAAGTTCAGTGTACGTCTCTACTATTTTATCTCATTATTTAACTGAGAAAATTTAGCCTTTCTGATCAATTAAAAAACAAACTTCACTATCCTGACCATCTTTATCATTCTAATTGCCATACTCTTTCCTATTTTCTAGTATAAGAAGGTGTGGGGAACCTTATTTCCATCCAAGACTGTGACACAGAAATACCTAAAGGTGTCACAAGTAAAAATCAGTTTGGTTGGGGAAAGAATGTTTTTGAAAGGAAAAATAAAAAACATTCCAGGAGAAAAGTGAGAATTTTCTCCAACTCCAAGACAAGGAGTTAAGGAAACATGTAGTAGAAAAGAACAAGATTGTAAGGAGCGGGGAAGCATCAAGAAAAGAGACTAAAAGCAGCACTGAGAAGGCACACTTAATTTGCCCCTCCTTCCCACCAGAATAATCCTTCTCTTTCTGCCTTGTGATCCATACTTCATTATCCATCTCACACTCTCTACCCATCCCACCAAGTAAAATTTCTAGTCAAAAAATATCCTGCTCTGCTGAAGCAGCCTCATTTCCCCTACCCTAGACACAGTTGTCTGTAGTATACAACATTAAGAACCCCTCGCTCCCACCTTACCCCTGGCACCCTGAACTCTTGTCACAACTACCACCATCATCCTTTCTACTTTTTACCATTCAGATCTTCCCATCAGAGTTCACTGCCCAGTTTGTTTGATATGGTAGTGATACCTCAGGTGAAAGCCTTAAGGGTAAACCTGTTTTGGAAGCAGGGACTCTCAGTATACACAACTGCTTTTTTCTCCTCTCTGTTTCTAAAAATACAATGGATTTTAACATCAGAATGTCGGTAGGTGTTGTCAGATCCGATTAGATTATGCCAAGACCATCTAGTCTGTGAGCTACAAAGCCCATCAGTCATATCTTCTATAACTGTCATTTAAGAGGAACAGGCTGTCCCCCTAGCCCTGTCATCTGCTAACATGCTAAGTGGTTTCCCTGGGTAACAGTGGTGGGCCTGAGTCACATAGGAAAATGAGGAAATGTAATGTTCAAGAAGGGGATGCAGGGTGAAAGAAAAAGGTTCCCCTAAGGAGAAATAAGTGGTCAGGTGCCCAATAACAAATACTATAGGTTGCTAAACTCTCATCTAATGTAAAAAGAAATATACAGTTGAACCTTGAACAAGAAAGGGGTTAGAGGCACCGAATCCCTGCACATTCGAAAATTTGCATGTAACTTTTGACTCCCCAAAAACTTAACTACTAATAGCCTACAGTTGACCGGAAGTCTTACTGATAACATAAATAGTCGCTTAATACGTATTTTGTATGTTATATGTATTATATATTATATTCTTACAATAAAATAAGCCAGAGAAAAAAACTTAAGAAAAATCATAAGAAAAAAATACATTTACAGTACTATACATATTTTTTTAATCCATATATAAGTGGACCTGCATAGTTCAAACCAGTGTTGTTCAAGGGTCAACTGTAATAGTGTGAAATTTCACCTCTTCCCTGATATCTGCTTGAGATGTTTACTTATAGCATGAAACATAACCAGTTTATTCTTAAATGCTTTCAAAGGCACCAGGAAGCATTTTAACAAATCATTCTGTTCATTGAGATGAATTCTGCAGTTAAACATTTCCCCTGTGCATTCTTGTCCCTCCCACCCCACCCAAAAAAAAGTTGTGGCTAACTATCTATGCTTGCTTTTACTTTATTTTTTTGTTTTGTTTTGCTTCTTGACTTCAAGTAGATGAATAACAAGATGCTTTTCCCTCCTCTAGAACATATCCTCCCCTGAGAGTTACCCTGCGAATAGGCCCGAGTCCCTGTCACCCGAGGTAGTTATCACACCATCTCAATCACACTTGGAGGCTGATAGTGAGTGTGCATGAGTGTATGGGAAGGGCTGGGGTATCCAAGCAAATGGGGTGATGGGCTGGAGGGTGGCCGATTGGTCACTGTAAGTTGAATGAATCTTCCCATGTATGACTGGTTGTTACTTAGAACTCTCAATGTAGGTGGAGGAAAATAAAGTAGCTATGTGTGTTTGGTGGGGAGGGAGTGGCTAAAGAGTTTAAAAGAAGAATAGTATCTAGAAGTAAAGTTTAAGGAAGGCTGAAAGTATGGTAGGAGCCTTGTTAAAGAAAGTTGGACAATGTGTGTTTGTTAAGTAGGAAAAGTTGGATCAAACGTTGGTATGAGCTATTTTTTGATATTATTTTAGGTTGATAAAGGAGCAGCTTGTTGGGAAAGTTAGGCAGTGATTTATGCCTTGTTCCTGGGTTAATCTGAGAGCTCTGTTTAACTGCAAGTTTTGGGTTTTGGTTGGTAGATTGAGGAACTTCGTTAAAATGGGAGAGGCAAGCCTCTTGGCTTCCTACATTCTTGCAGCTCCTTACTGGGTACACAGGAAACTATGGCAGCCCATGGCTTCTGTGACCCAGGCCTCCATTCTGCAGTGCTTGGAATATGATTGCCATACAAGTGGTATCCCTTAGGACAGTGGTCGGCAAACCGCAGCTCGGCAGCCACATGCAGCGCTCTGGCCCCTTGAGTGTGGCTCTTCCACAAAATACCGGTCAAGGGCATGTGCCTGGGTTGCGGGCACGTCCCCAGTGGGAAATGTGCAGGGGGCAGCTGATCGATGTTTCTAACTCTCTATCCCCTCTTCCTTCCTCTCTGTAAAAAATCAATAAAATATATTAAAAAAAAAAAATTTGGCTCTCAAAAGAAATTTCAATCGTTGTATTGTTGATATTTGGCTCTGTTGACTAATGAGTTTGCTGACCACTGCTTTAGGATATCAATTGAGTGCTTTGCTCAGAAACCCTGTTGCTGTGGAGATTTAAAATTCAGACTTTAGTGGTAGCATTTCTTAACTATTAGAAGATTTGGACAGAGGTAGTAATGATTAATTCCATGAATCCACATACTCTTTTTCCTCTTGAAGAGGAAGTTATAATCTCACGTAACCTTTTAGAAATTAACTGTTAACACACACCCCTCCTTCTAATAAAAAATTAGTATTAAACACAGTGACAGTTGACCAAATTCCGAATCAGTAGGATTTTATAGAGGATTGTGAAACTGAGAGAAGTTGTATTCTAGTGTACTAGAGGTTTTCTGGGTGGTTTTTCTGTCAGGTGCTAAGGGTTCTAAGATAGCATATTTTGGAGGCTGACATGGTATATTATCTGGGTTTCTGGAACCATTCTTTCTAGAGTTAGTTAGTTGACCTAGTGATGGAAAATCTTGGTGTTAGGAGGTAATGATAACCAAATAATAGATGAGGCTTATTTTTGGCACATTTCAGCATTTTAGATATTCTGCAGTGATGGGCATTAGTGGTATTACGGTGTGTTGACATAGAGTAGAGGATAAATAAGAATTGAGTGACCAGAAGGTTTTATGAGGAATGTATCTATTTAATAGTGAAAGTGAGTGAAGAACTGGTTGGTTGATGTCTTTGATGCCATTCTCCTTTACTGAACCAGTACCTTAAATACTTGACTTTCCATCTACTTTCTACTTTCTTTCAACTTTTTTCCTCCTTCCACCTTCCATCAATATTAACTTAGAAACGAATAACACCAGAAGCCAGTTATATAAGCCAGCTGGTCTCATCTCTATAGCATACATGGGGCTCAGGTAAATCCCAAATTAATACTGCCAATCCCTTAATGTAGTGCAAGGTGATTCAGCAAACCTGATGAAAGGCTAAGCAGGCAAAGTAGTCACATTTGGCCAATTACCTAATTCTAATTTTTTCATTATTCTCCTCCAGAAAGATTTGAAAGTAATTTGGGAAAGGTGGGAGTTGTTTAGTGATCTGGCCTGTATACACTATTGCTACATGGGACTCACAGATGTTAATGGCATTCTCTCTTCTGCTCTCATCCCTTTTGTCTCTGCTGTTCATCTGTGCCCCTCTTCCCTCCTTTGTTTTCTGCCCTTTGACTGTTTTCCTTCTCCCCTACTCCATGTCTCCATTGATTTTTATTCTTTCAGCTTTGTCACCGAAAAGACCTGGACTTGACAAAAGTAGGCTACCTTGACTCCAACACTAACAGCTGTGCTGACAGACCGTCCCTCATCAACTCAGCTCATTCTGACCTGGCTCCTCACCCCTCCATTGGGCCCACCTCTGAGACTGGCTTTCCAGGGATGGGGACATCACACTCGTGAGGAACTCGGACCAGGCATTTCGGACAGAGTTTAACTTAATGTATGCCTATTCCCCGTTGAACGCTATGCCTCGAGCAGATGGATTATATCGAGGGTCTCCCCTAGTAGGAGATAGGAAGCCTTTACATTTGGACGGGGGATATTGTTCCCCTGCAGAAGGGTTTCCCAGCAGATATGAACATGGTTTTATGAAAGAAGTCTCTCGTGGATCCATGTCACCTGGTGGTGAAAGGGCTTGTGAAGGAGTCCCATCTGCCCCCCAGAACCCACCACAGAGGAAAAAGGTAAGTTTCACACCATAGAGAGCACTAACAATAGATATTTATGAAGTTACCACTATGTGTTCAGCACTGCTCTCAGTGTGAGGAAAACAAAGATAAGTAAGACACGGTCTCTGCCATGCCCAATAAAGTACAGGCTGTTTTAATACAATTTGATAAATTTTGTAAATAATCAAATTTAAATGCCTATCGTGTATGTGCCATACACATAGTAGGCAGTTCAAAGAATAGAGCAGTGGAAAAGAATATTAGTAATTAGTTGTATTATTTAGCACTTCCCATGTTCTAGTCACTGTTAAGCTTTCTTAAGCACTTAATCCTCAAAATAATCCTGTAAGATAGATAATTTCCCACTTTGCAGATGAGGAAACTAAGGCAAGTTGAGTGACTTGCACATGGTCACACAGCTAGTAAATGGAAGAGCCAGGATACTGCCCAGGTCTGTTTGATTCTCAGTTGCATGCTCTTATTGCCACCATGCTATATTGCCTCCTAGGTTCTGCCCTAATGGGGGCTCATAGCAAGTGATAATTATATTAATAAGTAATTAATTATAATGGTGATGAATGCTTCAAAATAGTTGTTCAGTGGTGAACACATCTTAACAGGGGAACCTGGCTAGTCAGATCTGTGGAGGGTGCTTTAAGAACAAGCCAGAAGCTCTTGGCCAATTTGAAGGCTGGTGGAGTGAGAGATAACAGGTCACTGATTTAGTTGATCTTAGACAATAAGTAGGAATCAATCATCCAACAAATGAGGGTGAGAATGTAACAAAAGAGGGAGCAGAACAATTAATTATGTGACAAGTAATTATGGATGGAGTGTGATTGTAAACAGTTGAGTGTTGCCATGGTGTCAGAAAAGGGTGGGCAGAGTAAGGAGGAAAATCAAGAGAGATGGGCAGCCCTAACCGGTTTGGCTCAGTGGATAGAGCGTTGGCCTACCAACTCAAGGATCCCAGGTTCGATTCCAGTCAAGAGCATGTACCTTGGTTGCAGGCACATACCCAGTAGGGAATGTGCAGGAGGCAGCTGATCGATGTCTCTCTCGTCGATGTTTCTAACTTTCTATCCCTCTCCCTTCCTCTCTGTAAGAAATCAATAAAATATATTTTTAAGAAAAGAGAGAGAGAGAGATGGACAGAGCCAGGCTATAAAGCAGTGTTGGCGAACCTATGACACGCGTGTCAGAGGTGACACGCGAACTCATTTTTTTGGTTGATTTTTCTTTGTTAAATGGCATTTAAATATGTAAAATAAATATCAAAAATATAAGTCTTTGTTTTACTATGGCTGCAAATATCAAAAAATTTCTATATGTGACACAGCACCAGAGTTAAGTTAGGGTTTTTCAAAATGCTGACACGCCGAGCTCAAAAGGTTTGCCATCACTGCTATAGAGAGTTGTCTAATGGTTTGGGACTTGACTTTTAAGCAATGCCTGTTCTAAAAATTACAAAGCCAAAAGTCTGCTTTTTATATCAGTGATTTTTCAACTAAGGACATTTGGATATGCATGGGAGTATTTGGGGGTTGGCACAGCAACTTTTATTTATTGGGAAGGGCTAGAGAAGCTAGATGCTCTGTGTGTGTGACAGTCTCACATAATTGCAAAATATCTTTCGTACTATTGGTAAAATGTAGCTTAGTGGCTTTTTACATTTACATTAAAATAAAATACATTACCAAAAATTATTAACTCCTTTCCAAGATTGTGTATGAAAAATGCATATGTAAAATTTATCTTAGTTTGAGTTTTGTTATATTTTACATTTGGACAAAAAATGAGAACCCTAAGAAGATAGAAGGAGAAAACACTGGCAGATAATTTGGAATAAAACAGCAATGGATTTTGAAGACTGTTGCATGAACAGCATTGTCTATCAGGAACAAAAATGGAAATAGACTTTGGATTTCTGGTTTCATTATGTGCAAAAGTGATTGAAATCATGATTTATTTCAGAATTATTGCTGAGCACCTGCTATTGGCCAAGTTCTATGCTGGATGTTAAAGATTAAAAAAAACAAATATCCCTAACCAGTTTGGCTGAGTGGATAGAGCATCGGTCTCCGGACTCAAGGGTCCCGGGTTCGATTCTGGTCAAGGGCATGTACCTTGGTTGCGGGCACATCCCCAGTGGGGAGTGTGCAGGAGGCAGCTGATTGATGTTTCTCTCTCATCGATGTTTCTAACTCTTTATCCCTCTCCCTTCCTCTCTTTAAAAAAATCAATAAAATATATTTTAGAAAAAAAACTTAGAAAACAAATAAACTTGGTCTTTGCCCTGGTAGACCATACAGTTTAGTGGGGAAACAAGCAACACATTCTAACAGACTACCAGCAGTGTAAGCACAATGCACTGTAGCAGCACAGAGAAGGTATGCCAGGCGGGGCAAGGAGCGGATTGTGTTGTGGTGGTCGGAAAGAATGAGGCAGATGAGCGATGAGATGGGGAGAAATTTCCAAGTCTGTATAGGTTTAATAGAGCTGACTTGCTACTATAAGAAGTGAAATCATTTTTTTTCTCCTTTTATACTAATTTCTCTATGTGTATGACAAACATTAATGAATCTCTTAAGTGTATCTTGGAAAATTAAGCACATTTAAGAACCCTGAAGAATAGGGTTTTTCTTTTGTTTGGGGTATATATTTTTTTCTCTTTTTAAAAATATTTTTCTGACATTTTAAAAATTTATTTTTTCATGTATTTTTATTGATTTTACAGAGGAAGAGAGAGAAACATCAATAATGAGAATCATTGATTGGCCGCCTCCTGCACTCCCCACACTGGGGATTGAGCCCCCAACCCAGGCATGTGCCCTGCCCAGGAATCAAACCATGACCTCCTGGTTCATAGGTCAACGCTCAACCACTGAGCCACGCTGGCCAGACTTCTCTCTTTTTTTAAACAGCTATCTCTAAGGATTTCTAAGGCATTAGAAAAAGTTATCAGAATCACCTGGAAGACTTTTTCAAACTACATAAGCTCCCAACTCTCTTCCCTCCCTTTTCTAGGAGCTACTATTGTTGCAGAAAACTATGATAGCACTATAATCTCACAAGTTTTTCTGAAGGCAGAAAAAAATGTTGAGTTCTACTAGTGAATACCAGTCCGCAAAAGTATTATTGCCTGGTATCTTCTCTTCTCATTACCAATATCTGACTGATGTAAATATGTAGCTGTGCTCAGATCTGCATCATACCTGACGAAAGTTGCCAATGTTGGTGCCTGCTTTGTTCGAATGGCTTGCTGATGGTTTATAGGGGTCTATATTTCCCCATTGCTACTGATCCTCTAACAATGTCTAGAGTCCTGTTTGTTATTTCCTTCCTAGGTATCCCTGCTGGAGTACCGCAAACGGAAACAGGAAGCCAAGGAGAATTCTGGTGGGGGCAGTGACTCTGCACAGAGCAAAAGCAAGTCTGCAGGAGCTGGGCAAGGCAGCAGTAACTCACTTTCTGACACTGGTGCCCACGGTGTGCAGGGATCCTCAGCCCGAACCCCATCTTCCCCTCACAAAAAGTTCTCCCCATCTCATTCCTCTCTGTCCCATTTGGAGGCGGTAAGCCCATCTGATTCCAGAGGCACTTCATCTCACTGCAGACCACAAGAGAATATCAGCAGTAGGTGGTAAGTTGATATTTGATGCTTTAATAATTAAATGAATTGTTCCCAGTTTTATCTAAATGTATGGGAACACTTATCTGAGAAAGCAAGACAACAGTGCCCTCTATCCTGTTCAGCTGATTAAATAATATCAGCCAGAACCACCACCACCACCACCACCCCAGTTTTATAAAAGCAAACAATTGCCACCGATCCTGTGGTACACCACTTTGCACTGCATACAGTATAGTATTTGCTGGGCCTAACACTGCCTCTTAAGTTATCTCATTTCATATGAAAGGTAAATGAGGAGTTCAGCTCAGTTTCTCTTTAAATTGACAACAGAAGTCTCAATTCCATACAGCTAGAAGAGAGATAAGACATATTCTGAAAGAACTTGTCTGGCTTAGGGGAGACCACAAATAACTAATACTGATGGCAAGTACTTGAGTATCCCAGATGAGTGAAATAGAGGATGAGGCAGTTCAGTGATCTTGAGCTGAAGAAATGAATTCTGGGCAAGAAGAGTGGGGCTCAAATAAATAATGTTTATTAATCTATGAAACATATTAAATACTACATGTTTATTTAATAAACATGTATTAAATACTACATGTGCCAGGCACATGACTTCACAGGAGAGAAAACTTAGCATTTCAAAATGGGGGTTGAGCACACTCTCCCTGTTGGGAGCATGCCCATGACTTGCCCTTCCCCAAGTTTGTCACCTCTGCCTTTCTCCTAAGCTCCAAGGGCCCTTCTTTTGCCTCTGTAACTTGTGCCCTGAGCCCATTTCCTCTGTGGCTCGCTTAGTACCTCTGTAACTTTCTAAATAAACTTTCTCTTATAATTTGGGGGAGGGGGGTTGGTTAAAAGAAGTAGACATCTTAAATTTACTTTTTCCTTGATTGCTTTTTTTTTAACATCAAGATGGAATGTAATTTTTAAAAAATTCTTTATTGTGCTTTTTCTTTAAAAGTCTTTTTTCTTTTGTGCCTGACATAGTTTGAGGCAGAGAAAACATCTTGTTTTAAATTGGTGAAGAAAATGATGTCTAAGAAGATGTTTTTTAAGTGAATATGTTGTACAACCTTTGTCAGAGATTCAGATGTGCCAGACTCTTGACTCTGAAGTCCTGCGGCATAAACTTGCACCGTTGCCTTCACAGGATGGTTCCCACATCAGTAGAACGACTCCGAGAAGGAGGGAGCATCCCCAAGGTCCTCCGAAGCAGTGTGAGGGTGGCCCAAAAAGGAGAGCCTTCTCCCACATGGGAGAGTAACATCACAGAGAAAGACTCAGGTAAGCCTATGGCTTTGTGCGGCCAACCAGTTGAGGGACGTGTGACCAGGCTCCATACATTTCATAACAAATGCTAGGCTGAGGTGAGTCAGCTTCTTAGGTGGTTGGGCTTCATTTATGCACGGTTCCAGCTTGGTTTACTTCTACTCTTTCGGGCTACAGCATTCTTAAGATCTACCATTGCTTTCTCTCTGTCTGCTTTTTTTTCCCCCAAGGGATACCTTTTGGTAACTCATCTGTCCAAAGGCCTGGAAATCTACCCTGTTGGAGGGAGGATGAAGAGAAAGGAGACAGGAGTCAGATCAGGCATTTAAGACATAGCCCATAATTAACCACTCCGTTTGCCCTTGTCACATGCTGCACTCACCTTATTTGACAGAAAGAGAGCAGCATGGATTAGTGGTGCCATTGGTGATTGCAATAAACAATGGCTATTTCTCACTTTCTAAGAAGCCAAGTTGATTTTGTATTACATTCCAGACCCTGCAGATGGAGAAGGCCCAGAGACACTGAGCTCGGCACTCTCAAAAGGAGCGGCCGTTTACAGCCCTTCCAGATACAGCTACCAGGTGAGGCGAAAAATTGCTCATCTCTGGGCATAGGAATATGTTTTGGATGGCAGTGTTTTGAGATACCATCTTTGTGTATAGTTTCAGCAGCCTTAGAAATAAGCCATCATCTGCTCACCTTCAGGTAATCAAATCATTCCAGAAAAATAAAGTGATCAGAGATAGCCATTTTACTGTCTTTGGTATTCTAAAAAGAACAGTAGTTAAGATGAAGAAAAATTAGGGTGTTTTAAATATTCACAAACCTAAATGGCTTAAATAGGGACTTTTCACCTCTTTATCCTTTTCTTCCCAACTCTTTCTAGCTCCTGCAGTGTGATAGTCCACGGACAGAATCACAAAGCCTACTTCAACAAAGTTCCTCCCCCTTTCGAGGACATCCCACCCAATCTCCAGGATACAGTTATCGAACTACTGCACTGAGACCTGGAAACCCCCCCTCTCACGCTTCTTCAGAATCCTCCCTCTCCTCTACGTCCTATTCCAGCCCCGCCCACCCTGTGTCCACAGACTCATTGGCCTCATTTACGGGGACCCCAGGGTATTACAGCAGCCAGCCACATTCTGGAAACAGCACGGGCAGCAGTCTTCCAAGGAGGAGCTGCCCTTCGAGTGCTGCTAGCCCTACCCCGCAGGGGCCCTCAGACTCACCGACCTCAGACTCGGTTTCCCAGTCCAGCACAGGAACTCTGAGTTCCACCTCCTTTCCTCAGAACTCTAGGTCGTCATTGCCATCAGACTTACGGACTATCAGTCTGCCCAGTGCTGGGCAGTCCACTGCCTACCAGGCCTCCAGGGTATCTGCGGTTTCCAATTCACAGCACTACCCGCACCGTGGGAGTGGGGGTGTGCACCAGTACCGACTCCAGCCATTGCAAGGGTCGGGAGTCAAGACTCAGACAGGACTTTCCTAGGGCTTCTGGATTTGGGCAAACCGAACTGAATGAGCCCATAGCTGCTTCCTTCCAGCTGCCTCTGGAACCTAGGCCAAGCAGATTGCTAGGGAAGGGGGTACAAGGTGCCAGAGGATTGGGTCTGGTCGACAAGAAACAAGACTTGTGGTCACAACAGGCTCAGGCCTTGGAGAAAGATGTAAATCTTGTCTGAAGCAGAGACTATAAAGAAGTTTCTCCCTGCTGTTAAGGGTACATTGTTGACAAGCAAATGGTGTTTCGGTTAGTAACGGTTCTAAGTGCAATGAGTTGTGTTGAAGCCTCCGTCTCCCATCCTTGCCTGTAGCCTGTAGTCACTTGTGCAGTGAGGACATCTTTTAAATCCAAAAAAAGTTTTCTTTTCAAAGAAAAAAAATGTGAAAAGAGCCAATCTCCAAACCCCAAGCCATCTAATAGTGTTAGGGTTTTATGCACTTAAAAAAAAGGTAGGTATGTAAATGTTCACCGGAAGACAACCATTCCAAAAGCAGATATCCAGCCAAGATGTGTCCACCAAGTATGTTCCTACCTTTGTCTTTAAATCACCAAGAAATAGGCAGGGATAGTGAAGCTTGGAATGTGCTCTAAGGGATGCCTGGCCCTCTGAAGAAAAGCTTGTGGTCAATTCTTGATTATTCAGGAGCAGATTAACCTAGTAGATTGTCTGATCCCCCAGCTGTTAACATCCCACTCCCCTTCCCCAAGCTATTTCACAGCTCAGTAACCCATGAAGTAATAGGTAAAGGAAAGAGGAATGATAAGTGAGGTGGGCCAATTGCTACTTATTAGCTATTGGCAATAAATTTACTTAGGAAGGATCCCAGGTGGTTTGGGAATTCTTTGAATTTTATTTTTTCTACTCCCAATTAATCAGGAGTTGACGATCCCATGAGTAGGACCGCCTCCGTGATTGGGGAGCATGCACTCGTGACTGCAGGGTAAGAGTGGAAAGATGTGTCGAGTGGTGCCGACAGGACTGTGATTGTGTGTGGGCATGTTCCACATTTCTTTGGGGGATGCTTATTTGAGAGTGGCCTGGGTGAGACAGTTAGAAAGCCACCCACGCACCTAACACTGTTCTGGATGAGAGACAAGAGCAGACTGGCTTCTCCCCATCAGTGCATTGTGCCTGCTGTACACCCCTGGAGGAGCCCTGGAGCCAGCCCAGGTGGGGTACACAATCTTTTTAAATTCCATACGGTTGCCAGCTTATTTCTTTCACTTGTTTACTGTAATATCCGGCGTGTTTTTATTTATCTAATTTTGTATTCAGTTATAACCATGGTAGGGGTAGCAGATCTATGACAGGTGTAATCCCTGGTGCTGCAGTGGACCTTACTTCTTTTCTTTTGGACAAGATAATACTGTGAGTCTCCCTCCTCCTTTCCCTCCAGTTTGTTTGTTGTTTTTTTTGTTGTTTGCCCAGCCTCTTCTGTCCCCTTCCTTCTACCCTTCCTACAACTATCATATGCACAGTCTTCTCTCTTTGTGTGTGACTGTTACAAAATTTCATTTTTTCACAATTGAAATCAGGTGTTTGCTCAAATGAGGGGAGATTTTTCTTTTTAATGCTGACAACTCAGCAGAATACTTTTCTTTTTATTGTTTCCCCCACACACCCATCAGTCTGGGAGAGCCTTGGGAGTGGAAATCATGTGGCCTGGGATGCTGGTTTCTTTGTATATTATATAAAACGTATGTAAATGTCTCTCCATTTGGGCTGGGGTTTGCATTCTCTCCTTGGCTGTTAACCAAGGGGAGAGGCCAGCAGGCAGGCAGCCCTCACCCTGCCTGGCACGTG